GTCAGAGCTCTTCCCGTTGTCACCCTGCTTTTTAAAGTTCAGCCTTTCGAAAAGGCCGGCGGCGCCCTTGTCTGATTGGAGCAGGCTCTATTTTAGAGGTGCAGCCTGGCTGGCCAGCCCACATGCTGTCCCACTCACCCTAAGTCGGGATTTTTGAGAGCAGCCCCTTCTGACCCTTTTGAAGTCCCTTTTATGGGGGGCAGATGAGAGATTAACAGCCGTAGATGTCTCTAAAGGCCGAGAGAATTGCGTTTTAGCTATCGTTAGGAAAAAGACAATCAAAGAGGAGTACAGGTGCTTTTGTGAGGTGCGGCTCCTGAGTTTGCAAGGCTCGTCACTGCCCTTTTCATCTCAGGCCGTCTCACTTTCCTGCCCTCTAATGTGCCCCATCGCTTAGTTTGACAGCAACCCTCTGGATGTGGGGATGGATGTCAGCCCCCCTGAGCCCCCCTGGGACCCTCTACCTATCTTCCCAGGTAAGAGACCCTTAGTCTTTCCCTAGGCACCCCAGAAACCGTATCCCCGAGTCCTTGTGTGCATACAGCCTGCAGAGGTGTCACACTCCCCGGCTGCCTAGAGCCTGCGTGTTGTCCATCTCACTCTGCTGCCTCCACCCTCAGGACCTCTTCACCCCTGGTCACTTATTTTTGCATTGTTGACTCCGAGCACGCAAGACCACAGTCTGACGTTCGACTCTGAGCCGTGTTCCCAGTCCTTCCCGGTTATTTCCTCACTTTTCTTCTTCCAGATCTTCAGGTGAAGTCTGAGCCGTCCTCTCCATGCTCTTCCTCCTCCCTGAGCTCAGAGTCATCGCATCTTTCTGCAGAGCCCTCCAGCCAGGTGAGAGCTGTCCCCTCTGGTTCTGCTCCCTTCGCTTCCCCTCTAGGTGCGAGCGATGTTCTATGTGTCTGCTTTGAGTGGGCGTGTTTTCTCAGACAGAGCACCTCATTTTCTGTGCATCCACTCTGGCAGTGCAGAAGGAAGATGAGGCCTTTTGGTTGTGAGCCTGGCCTTTAGCGGCTGAGCCGTCTCTCCAGCCCAATGGGGTCTTTTTAGTGTAAAAAGAGATGGCAGTAGTAGTAGGGATTGGGAAAACAGCGTTGGCAACGGCCGAGGATTCTCCAGCCGTTCTCACCCAGGTTGTCCACTATAATGTGATATTTGCAGTCTTGGGATTTTGTTTACTCTCCCTGGAAGAAAACAGAAAGAAAGAAAGAAAGAAAGAAAGAAAGAAAGAAAGAAAGGAAGGAAGGAAGGAAGGAAGGAAGGAAGGAAGGAAGGAAGGACAAAGAGCCGGAGAGCCTGGCTAGAGTCTCGGAGCTGTTCAGACCCCGACACAGATGACTGGTGGTTTGTCGGCTCTGGAGTTTTTGCTCTCACTCTGACTCTCAGCAGCTCTGTAGCTTCCTTTCCTTCTGTCTTCCTGTCTCACAGGTTCCTGGAGTAGGGGAGGTCCTCAGTGTGAAGATGGAGTCCTTAGCACCTCCACTCTGCCTGCTGGGAGACGATCCAGCATCCCCATTTGAAACGGTCCAAATCACCGTGGGTTCTGTCGCTGATGACCCCTCAGGTAATCACAGCTTATCAATGTCCTTAGGAACTGCCACTGGGGGCCACGTGGTGGAGGCGCATGCCTTTAATCCCAGCCCTCGGGAGGCAGAGGCAGGTGCATCTCTGTGAGTTCGAGGCCAGCCTGGTCTACAGAGCGAGTGCCAGGATAGGCTCCAAAGCTACACAGAGAAACCCTGTCTCGAAAAATACCCCCCCAAAACCCAAAATAACAACAACAAAAAACCTGCTACTGGGGAAGGGGGATGGGTGAGATTGCTCAGTGGTTAAGAGCACTGGTTGTTCTTCCAGAGGATCCAGCTTCTGTTCCCAGCATCTATATGTCCCCTCACAACTGTCTGTAACTCCAGTCCCAGGGAATCCAAAGCCCTTTTCTGGCCTCCAGGTGTTCCAGGCACAAACATGGTTCATAGAGATGCATGCAAGCGGAGCAGCTGCACACGCTAAAAAAACAAGACCCGGCACTCGGTTTATCAGGATAGCTGTGAACATCTGTGTGGACAGGGATAGGAGGGGGTGGGAGAGTGAGTGAAGGTCATGAGGGTAGAGGCCAGGAAGAGAACTCAGGAGCAACGCAGAGCAGCACTGAGGAGATAAATGACGGTTTCCCTTGTCCCTGGCACCCAGTCTGTCACTCACTTACCATTAATTTCCATTTCCAAAATAGTGTGGGAAATTTCGGGCATATGTGTGTGCTGCCTGCACCACCCCAGCACACACGCCCTGTCTCAGTTACTGTTTTATTGCTGTGCAGAGACACCATGACCAAGGCAACATTTAAAAGAAAGCATTTCCCTTGGGGCTCGCTTAGTTCAGAGGGTTGGTCCTGGACCATCAAGGTGGGAAGCAGGCGCCAGGCAGCTGAGAGTTCACATCTGGTTCACAAGTTGAAGGCAGAGAGAGATAGAGACTGGTGACTCTCCTCCTCATAATCCTTCCCAAACACTTCCTGCCACTGGAAACCAAGCATTCAGATATATGACCTCCGGGTCATATATATATCCCATCCAAACCACCACACGCCCTTTTATTCCCCCTTTATTTTGTTTCTTGAGCTGGATTTCACCGTGTTGCCCATGCTGGCCTCCAAATCAGGGCACAAGACCTCTGACCCAGACTCAAGAACGTAGGTGTGTTACTCTGCATCCCACTGCCTCCAAAACTTTTAGAGAAATTTTCAAACATATAGCGAGCTTGGAAAGCATAGGCCTAATTCCCTGACTCTTACAGTGGACCTTATTTGCATGATTTTATGTTCTTGGGTTTATTTACTTATGTGGCTTATTCGGTAGACATTTGTTTAGCACCTGTTCTGTGCCAGCTACTGGGCAGGGTTCTGGTAATGACAGAGTGCTGGCTCTTGGTTGACTCCCTCTTCTTTATTCAGTTGGGGACCCTAAGGCTCATGCAGGCGCCCCACACAGAGTGTCTCTAAATCGATCAGCTCGACAATGAAGGTAACTCTGACAGTTACCTAGTAGATTTGCCAATAGATTCCTGGTAGACTGCGGATGTTACCAAGAGGCCACAGCACACCTCCCCCACATGTTTACAGCAAGGGTTATCCATAGCTTTGCTGGGGCAGGGTTACATATTTCATGAGGTTTGTGTTCACCCAGCATTCTGAGAGATGAGACACAGTGTTGGCTTTGGAGAACATTGTGAGGGTTGTAGTACATGATTTAACAATGTTAACAACAGTCACTTCCAAGGATGGTGGGGGTGGCCTTTTTTTTTTCCACTGAATTTACCTTCATTCCTCTGTAATTTGTATAGTATAACAATATTTGTCGTGACTGCTACCGTTCAAATACACTACTGATTTAAAATAGCAATCACTGGCAGTTGTGTAATTAGGTACCACAATAGTGTTAGTTAGAGACAGTGATAGATTTGTGGCCTTTGGGCTAAATCAAGCCTTCACCCACCTGGGACCTAGTATTTGTTTCTGTGAGCAATTAAGAAGTTGCAGACATAGCTGAAGCTTTGTGCTGTGCTCCTAGCATGGGTGGGCCAGGTCTGTGAGGACAAATAAGAACTGGCAGGTGG